CATACAGTGGACTACCAGTAAAACTGATACAAATTTGGGACCAAAAATTATTCAGACCAAGTCTGGGGAAAAAAAAAATATATGAAGTTGAGGTTTTCATGAAGCTGGATGACAGCATGCCCAGGAGACTACAGGCTGTCATTAAGGCTAAGGGATGCCCGACTAAGTATTGATAGTTGTGTAAATACTGTCATACTAACAGCTGTCTAATTTTTTGGTTGATTGTAATCCATTACATACCTTTCTATCAAAGTTATCTAACATTATCAAGATGAATTTGTTCTGACACAGTTTAACTCTGAGTTCTTGTCATATTTTATTACCATTTTCTAAACTATAGCGAATAAACTGTGATAATGTGAGAAATGTTGAAGGTATCTGAATAAATTTTGGTTTGACTGTATCTATTTGATAAATGAAGTTAACCAACTAACATTATACATACCCTTTTGGGTTTTGTACCCAATATTTAAAAAATGTACAAATGCAATAAAATATTGGTATCGGTACTCTGTATCGGCAAGTACCAAAAATAAAAGTATCGGTATCGGGCGAGAACTGGAAAAAGTGGTATCGGTGCATCCCTAATATATATATATATACACACACACATACATACATACATACAGTATATACACACACATATATTAAGGCAAGATTAGTTTCTCCCACCTGTCCGAACACTTCCTCATTGACAGTGAAGGTGAGATCCAGCACATCTGTGATGTCGTTGTCCTTCATCCACTGTAAGCTCTGATGAAACTCCTCATCCAGGTACTCCAGATCACTGAGATCCGTGGATCTGCAGACAGGGTAACAATGAACATGTTTCTTTTACAGTTCATACTTTACAGGATATTGTATTCTGATAAGTGCTAGACTGATAAGATTGGTCTGGTCAACAAATCGACTGATATTTGGGAGTACTTCAAGATTACTATGGCCGCTTAATTGATTAACAGATGTCCTTTGTTTAATTCTTTTTTTCTGTTCATAAGATATATACATATTTTTTAATTTTAAGTAAACAATGTGTGAAAAGTAATTATTTTTATTAAAATTAAAAATTATTAATTATTAAACATTAATTTAAGCCATTTAATTTAATTCATATCTCATTTTGTTCTTGTAAAATTGCAATAGAGTAAATTTAGGTACATTTTTGACATTGAGATAGCTGTCAAAAACAACTGAATTTTCTGTAATTATCCATTGATCGTATCTAGATATCTGCTTCCTATTGGCTACTGAAAATTCCATTTCGGTCAGTTACTTATTTGTGAGCACACATAAACAGTTGTTCAAAAGCTTGGGGTCAGTCAATACATTTATTCAACAAGGATGTATTAAATTATTATTAAAAAAGTAAGTGCTGTTCTTTTAAACGTTCTATTAATTCAAAATATCCTGAAAAATCACTGAATCACTGTTTTCATGAAAATATGAAAACACAACTGTTTTCAGCATTAATAACATGTGAACCTGGACCACAAAACTAGTCATAAGGGTCAATTTAGAAATTTAGATTTATACATCATCTGAAAGCTGAATAAATACGCTTTCCATTGATGTATGGTTTATTAGGATAGGACAATATTTTGTCGAGATACAACTATTTGAAAATCTGGAATCTGAGGGTGCAAAAAAATCTAAATATTGAGAAAATCGTTGAGAAATATTGAGAAAATCGAAATTAGCAATGCATATCACTAATCAAACATTAAGTTTTTATATATTTACAGTAGGGAATTTACAAAATATATTCATGGAACATGATCTTTACTTAATATCCTAATGATTTTTTGGCATAAGAGAAAAATCAATAATTTTGACCCATGCAATGTATTTTTGGCTATTGCTACAAATATACCCCAGCGACTTAATACTGGTTTTGTGGTCCAGGGTCACATATTACTAAATGTTCCTTGAGCAACAAATCAGCATATTAGTGACACTGTAGACTGGAGTAACATCATGTGACACTGAAGACTGGAGTAATAATGCTGAAAATGCGCAAAAAATAAATTACAAAACAATTGCATAGAACACAACACGCTCACAATTTGTCAATTTTGTCACCGTTTTCAAATTCTGCATGTAGTTGAATGCATTTAATGGTTTCTGGTCCACTCACAGTCTGAGGAGAGCTTTATAAAACGGGCGGGTGAAGAAGGCGTCCAACAAATACTGATGAATCAAAGCCAGGCCAAGAATTCGACCACTGAAACGAAACCTGAAAACACACGTCACATCATGCGGTCAAAAACACAGACATTCTGGCAATAACAACAGCAACAGCTGTGAGAGCAGCCAATGACATAACTATTTATTTCTCAGTCAATGACAATTCAGTATGCGCTCTCATGCCACACAGGAAGTGGAAAGAACCTTACCATTCCAAATGGTTTTCCACAAAAGCAGACATGGGGCTGATCTGGACAGTGTATGTGTCGTTAGCGGAGTATTCAAACAGGCCATAGTAAGGGTTAAACAGCTCCTGAGATAGCAGAAAGTAAAACTCCCGCGATGGACCGCTGTAGTCCAGTCTGAAAAGAAAAGTGTTTCAGTCAATTTGAGAATATATTCAATAAAAGTGTTCATTTAATGTCAGCAATTATGTGTTATACATTGTGTTATATTTGCTGATATCTGTATCAGCACAAACAGTCATCTGCCTCACCCTTCCTCTCCAACAAAGGTAATGTACAGCTTGTTTCTCTGGAGCTCTTTACGAGAGTAGGCCATGACCTGGTTAAATGTTCCTTCCAACAGATGATCTCTTCTGACGATCAATCTAAAAAACAACACGAAGTAAGAACTGTAGGACATTTATCTGGCAGATACTATTTTTTAGCATTTGTTAACATATTTAGTATTTGCTCAGTACACATTATAGTACATATGCATACATTAACATTCAAAAGTTTTTGTAAATTGAAATGAATACTTTGATCCATCAAGGACACATACATTAATAAAGTTCCAAATATTTGTATTTCAAATAAATGCTGTTTTTTTTTTTTAGACTTTGTGTTCATCAAAGAATTCTGAAGAAAAAAAATATTTACTGTTTCCACAAAAACATTAATAAGCAGCAAAAACCTTTTTTTTCTCTCTTTCAAAAACAAACATACAGAGATACTTAACGTCAAACAGAACACAAACAAAAATGGGGGCTACATATAACAAATATACATCATGGAGGGTAAAACATTACATTTTACAAATAACATTTTTTAATATGAGCGACGTTTGTATACATTTCTTGTTTCTAGTGATTGAAATCAATGAGTCATCAAATATTTTAAGTTCTTTACAAAAAAAGAGGGAGTAATATACATTATTTTTTAGCAAAAACGATAATAATAAAAAAAAAGTAGAAAATCAGCATATTAGAATGATTTCTGAAGGATCATGTGACACTGAAGACTGGAGTAATGATGCTGAAAATTCAGCTTTGCATCACAGGAATAAATTACATTTTAAAATATATTAAAACAGAAAACAGCTATTTTAAATTCTAATAATATTTCACAATTTTACTCTATTTTTGATCAAATAAATGCAGCCTTGATGAGCATAAGAGACTACACACTTAATCTTGCCGGGTCCTTGCCCGTAGCCCTTTGCCTCCAGCTTCCTGTAGAAGTTGCGCAGTTTGGCTTCAAAATCTCTGCGGTAGGGCGCTGGTGCCCGAGCTCTCTGAGTCCCTAAAAAAGACAGTCACAAATCATCACCACAGATGTCAGCTTACAATAAATATCAGTCATCAAGGAAAGACTGTCAAGGATCAGCAGGCCATCAAACAACTCGGAAAGAGTTCACCTTGAGAACAAACACACAAAAAGGGGAGATGATAATTCCTTGCATTACGTAAAAGACATATTTCAGGGCAAAGATTTTTGATGTTTCGGAGGACAGTTTTGTCTTCAATCATTTTTATCTGGTTTGTCCAAACATGCACAGCAGTCAAGTTCTACAAAAAAGACTAGTTAACCACTTTAGGACGGAAGGAAACGTGGCAGACAAAGGTTTGTATATTCACACACTACAGGTTTGGGGTCTGTAAATGTGCTGGGGCAGCTGGGTTGGGACAGTATTTACGACTGGAGAGTGGCTGACCTGGAGAGCTCTCACCAGACAGACAGCAGGCTGGAACGAGAGGAGTTCGCTCAAGGAAGCCTTTATCAGAGCAGATCAGAGAGCATGTCAATGAACTACGACTTTCCTTGCAAACTTGAGGTTCTTCATGTAAATAAATAAATTTAAGAGCAATTTAACTGGTGTTAACATCCATCTCGGATCCTATCCCACTGCTAAATATGGGCTAATGTGTCTAAAGAAGGTGGTGAGAGACACATATTTAGGGCTCAAACATTTGCGACTAAAAATAGATGTGTGAACTGTAAAATGTGACCCTGGACCACTGGGGTATATTTGTAGCAATAGCCAAAAATACATTGTATGGGTCAAAATTATTGATTTTTCTTCTATGCCAAAAATCATTAGGACATTAAGTAAAGATCATGTTCCATAAAGATATTTAGTAAATTTCGTACTGTAAATATATCAAAACTTAATTTTTGATTAGTAATATGCATTGCTAAGAACTTCATTTGGACAACTTTAAAGGCGATTTTCTCAATATTTAGATTTTTTTTGCACCCTCAGATTCCAGATTTTCAAATAGTTGCATCTCGGCCAAATATTGTCCTATCCTAACAAACCATACATCTATGGAAAGCTTATTTATTCAGATGGTGTATAAATCTGAATTAAAAAAAATTGACCCTTATGACTGGTTTTGTGGTCCAGGGTCACAAATGTATTTAGAACCATGTGTGTGAATGAGAAAATTCCCCACAGGTCCTGTTCTGTTTTATGAAATTAAGGTCGGCAATGATAAGTATATTAAATTGTATAACAAATGTCTGATCATTTTAGGAGGTCTTAAATTTGGGGAAAGAAAAACACTTATAGAAATACAGTCTAATTCCTAAATACATTATTAAACTTTAAAAGACTATGACTTTATTAGATCAATGTGAGTGCTACTCGATCATGGCACAGTTGCATGTTCTACAGGACTGTGGTTTGCAATCAATGAACAGTGCGCATTTATGCCAAAAGATTGCTTAGGATCTACTGTTGATGAATTATGACCATGTTTACTTTAGTTTATATTGTAATATGATAGAGATGGTTGTGAGAGTGCATATTTTATCATCTTTTTGATTGCACAATAGTAAATATGCAATAGTAAAGCATAGACATTTCAAAATAAAAGTCTCAAAAACCTAGTGTGCTTTTAGCATTCTAATAAATTCATATAATAATAACACGTTTAAATATCTCCGTCCTTATATCCATTTACTAAGAGAAACACATTATTTGATATATTTTCATTGCTCGTTAATATTTTTTATGTGCTCCTTGGGAAAAAGTAAGCGTCAAGCCCTGGTATAGGAGATTTCGCTTTAAGCATTTGAGAAGGGTGTTACTGGAAGGTGCAAATGAGGCCTAGGAATTTTTTGATTTGCAAACTTCACTTGAAGTCATATCTAAACAATGTATGCATTCTGCAGAGCATCTGAAGACCTGTGTTTAAGCTCTCAGCTGACTCACCTGGAGAGTTTTGAGGAGAGGAACCAGGAGAGCAGCGTGGAGAGAAGTTGAACCCAGGGTGAAATGATGTGAGAGGAACGTAAGACATGATGTCCTCCTCAAACAAACTGAAAAGCAAAGCAAAACACGTTCTGAAAAAATCATGCATGACATTATACATTTTACTCTCAGAAAACATTTCATGTGCATTTGACATGATTGCAAAGATACTATTTAAACTGAACTGAGCTGGATGTTGACATCACTGAATTCAATGATGAACTGTCTTTAACTGACAAATGAGTGTTTACTATTGTCATTTTGCATTATTGACACTATTTTCCTAATTAATGCTGTTCAGTTGCTTTGTCACAATCTGTATTGTTAAAAGCGCTATATAAATAAAGGTGACTTGACTTGACTTAATAATAATTCTTTTTTTAGCACGGTAGGGAGCTTTACCTTAACAGTATGACCAGGTCAGCATCACACGACAGCTTCTCCAGTCTCTGTGTGCCTTCGGTTCGGATGTGATGCACCTTTTCCCTACAGACATAATAAACACACCCGAACAACTGAGAACTGTTTGGAAGCACTAATGATGTATTTTGTTACAGTAACAGAGGAAAGTGTAGGGTCATACTTGAGCGAGTGATTCCTCGCCAGGCTCGGCTGCCGTTCCTGTAGCACCTCAAAGATGTTCGGTTGCCGTAAAAACACTACAATCTTATCATTGTATGCTGGGAAACAAATGGAAAAGAATTCATATCAACTCAACTGTATATACTCGATATTTATGATACATTGGGTTTCTTTGGTTATGATCATGGTAATTGTGATATTAATGTCAATTTTATTTGATCTGTTAAGGACCCTAAAGAACATGCCAAAGGACTAATTTCACGCTCCCTCCTTGTATCATGATTTTTTTAAAAGAGTCTCTGGCTTAAATTTTTTGTCAAAACAACCATAGATTGGCAAAGTCTGATTCATTTCTGCAAATCAGTTTTTGAAATAAAAAAATTTTCAGCCACTGATTAATCACTCAAATGTCTTCACTAAAATATGTTATTATTACGTTGGTTAATATTGCTGTTTATAACTATGCAATGTTATATTGATACATTCAAAATTTATTTGATTAAATACTGCATCCGGACTATAAATTTCTACTAAAAATTTAATTTCTACGTTTGAACCCATTTCAGAACAAATACATAAATGTAAAGACATCCATTATGATGAAACAGAAATAAACTATTGGTTGGAATTGATCATTTAATGTTTTTGAAAGAAATCTCTTATGCTCATTAAGGCTGCATTTATTTGATAAAATATACAGTAATGCTGTGAAATATTATTACAATTGAAAATAACTGGATTCTATTTGAATATATTCTAAAATATAATTTATTCCTGTTTCAGCACCATTACTCCAGTCTTCAGTGTCACATGATCTTTCAGAAATCATTCTAATATGTTGATTTGCTCCTCAAGAAACATTTATTATTATGAATGTTGAAAACAGTTGTGCTGCTTTATTTTTTGTGGAAACTGGGAAACATTTTTCAAGATTAGTTCAATACAACAGCATTTGTTTGAAATTGAATTTTGTAACATTATGCATTACAAATGCCAATTTTAAAGAATTTAACTTTTAACTTATTTTTAAAACCATTTTTAAACAGAAAAATATATATATTTTTTTTTCTCTCTTTTTTTAGCTACATCGACCAGCCCTAAGTGCAACTATAACTGATCCGTCCGTTATTTGTGAATGGTTCATACCTAATGGCACTGGCTCCTGCTGGCTTTGGTTTCGTATGGCTGCTACCAGGCTATTTCCAGGCCTGGCTAACAAGGACACCCCTCGGGTGCGCGACACCTCAGACGCCTGGAATTAATGTGGAAATGAATAAATAAATTATGTAACAGTCATTTCTGTATCATTTACGTGAGGAGAAATCAGCACAGTATGAAGTCAAATGAGACAGATTGTCTCTAGATTATGAGTGTGTCTGACCTCTCCTGCGCTGTAGCTGCGTAATCTCTGCAGGTGCTGGCGGTGCGTCAGGTGGTTGGGCAATCTGCCGTTTTGCAAGGGGATCCTGGGATCAATGAAGGTTGTGGCACGGCTGTTGTGGTCTACAAAGAACGACTGCGGAGAAAAGTGAAGGAGAGACAGTTGAAATAATGGCTTGACAGACACTGAGGTGAGATGTTAGGAAGAGCGTGATGTGAGGTACCTTCCCCTGTGGGCCTGTTTTGATCTCCCAGCCCCGTGGCAGCTCCAGCTGAGCATCAGCAAACCTATTTAAAAAGGCCACCAGGTCACGGTTGTGCTGGTACCGCTCAAAGTTTCGGGCATCACGCCTGATCTTTAGGACCATGTGTTTCAGACACGAGCTATTTGTGAACATACGATACGCCCCCTGTAAAAAAATAAAAAAAATGTTAACATGACACTAGCATAAACTTCTTAATTAAAACATGTGCACCACCAATTTTTGGGTATGCAAGATTTTTTTATGTTTTTCAAAAAACAAGCTCACCAAGGCTGCATTTATTTGATCAAAAATACAGTAAAAACAGCAATACTGTGAAATATTATTACCATTTAAAATGACTGTTTTCTATTTGAATATATTATAAAATTTTATTTTATTCCTGTGATGCAAAGCTGAATTTTCAGCATCATTACTCCTGTCTTCAGTGTCACATGATCCTTCAGAAATCAGTCTAATATGCTGATTTGCTGCTCAAGAAACATTTCTTATTATTATCAATGTTGAAAACAGTTGTGCTGCTGTATATTTTTGTGGAAATCGTGATTTTTTTATTTTTGGAAATATTATAAATGCCTTTACTGTCAATTTTGAACAATTCAACGTGTATTAATTTTCTTTTGTAAGAAAAATCTTACTGACCCCAAAATTTTGAAAGATGAATGAATAGTGCGTAGTGTGGTGGAAACTCACATAATTTGCGTGGAGAACAGTGAAGAACTCTGGGTGAGTGATGAATTTGACTGCTGGACTCTGCAGCAGTAACGTGATCTTCTGACAGTGACTTGGAGAACCTGAAGAGTCTCTCCTCAACTCTTAAAGACAAAAATATCAATTAAAATGAATAAAAAGAATAAAAAATTGTATTCTTCTGCAAGGTCAAACCTACCACACTGACAAGACATGTGAGTTCTGTGTTAAGTTCCTATTTATCAATAGTACCTATTTTTATGAGACGTTCTCACATACGTAGATTTCAAAAGGCATGTTTTTTAAGTTACTAATTACTTAAATTTCAGTCGGTAGTCAATTTTCCCCAAAGAAAGCTATGAAATGGCTTTAGAAGACCTGGGCCCGTATTCACAAAACATCTTAAGGCTAAAAGTAGCTCATAACTTGCAGATTTAGGAGAAAATCTTAAAAATAACGGGCGTGTCAATCCTAAATTCAGGACTCGTACATTTTTGCTCTAAGTGTATTTCACAAAGCGTTTTAGCACTAGCTCCTAAATCTGTGGAACGTTAGGAGTTGTGAAGAGGACGCCTAAATCACTAAGACCAAACCACAAACTAGGCCTATCCTCCCTGCTGAAGAAAACAATAGAAACCATCACAGAAATTCTAATGTTTTTCACTACCGATACCATTATAAACATTACAAACCATCAACTTTTAACCATTAAAATCATTAAAAAATGGTTTCCTGTAGTATGTTTTGGGACATGTTCCATTAGTGGTTTAAACAAGCCAACTATAGAAGGCGACCAATTACCAGTAGAGACCAACAGGCACCATTACGGTTACCATTAAAACCAATACAATTCCCATTATAACCAGTAAAACCATTAAAAATTCTGTGATGGTTTCTATAGTTTTTTTCAGCCGGGCTAAAATGGCTGTTGCCAGCAATCTGGCTCGAAACATATAACATTTTAGAAACATGCTGCATTTATTTGCACACATATGTTTTCCCATGCATTTTTTTTTTTTTTTTTGGTTTTGGAGGTTATCCCAACTCCAAATTTTAGATTTGATTATATCCTTTTCATTAACAAGCTGGGCAAGAAGCAACAGCTGTTCTTGAGTCCAGTTTGGTTTTCTTCTTACTATCAGCCATGATTATTCTACTCTGTTAATTAAAAGGCTGTTCATATGCATATTCACTAATTGTTTACGAGGAGCACACATGTAAGAGGCTGACAATTAGCTGAACATATACTTGTTTAATTAGTGACACTTAACCTGCATTTTTAAACCTTTATTTGAATATGGCAACATAATATTGCACTCTACAATATTTCTCACATCATCCATAGCAACGAGGTCAACCCCGCCCTTACTCTTAGCTTAAGACTTCTGTCTATTCCTTAGTAAAAGTTTGTCTTAGCAGCTTTGTGAATAGGTTTTAAGAGAAAACCCTTAGCTAAAAACCTTTACTGCTATTTAGGAGAACTCTTAGTGATAAGATAAAAGGTTTTGTGAATACGGGCCCTGATTTGTAGCAAACCACATGTTACTTTTAAGTGTGTGTTTTTTTACACTTGACAGCCATTGGTTACTGTCTACATTTGTTATATGCAAACGAGCAGGTCCAGATGGAATTTGCAAGGTTTTTGCAAATTTTTTGCACATTTTTAAACATGGTAAAATGTGTCAAATGCAGATGAGAAAATTATACTCCATTTGGTAGCTGGACAAATGATCAAATGGACTAGAAAAGAGAATTCTGCATTGGAGATTGTACAAAAAACACAAAAAACAAACAAGATTTTGACTGACATGAGCATGAGTAAATCATTTCCACGTTTTGGGGGTCATTATGTTTGATGAGTGTGAAGTTACCGGCTGTCTGTGGAGGCGAGTCTGTCTCAGTGTTGGCTGTTCTCTCGTTGCGGGGGCTGCCTGACTCCTCGTCTCTCCTCTCTGTGGCCATCGTCCTCTGGATGGTCTGGTACCTGATAGGAACCCGAGTATTGCTGTTATTAGTCACTAATATTGGTAAAGTATGACTCCCATTGTAAAGAATCTTTTACGAATATTTCTAACCAAGCCCCCTCATTTACATAACTCCTTTGCTGCTCGATGGTTCAGTAAAGCTGTGTGCTTTGAGAATAATCTAAATTTGTCATCTACTGCTTGTGGACTATTAAATAAACAGCATTTAATTACACTCTAAACAGAAACATGATGAAGCACCTATATTTTTGTCCTGTACCTAGGTGGCAAACGATTGCATGTTTATATGCTCATGTGATTGTGCTTGGTTTATAGAAAATTACAGCATTTGACCCAAAAAAGAGAATCATTGGAAAATTAATCATTGGCGTTGAGCATTTTTACAAAGGTTGCTGTAGATTTTACTGTTACATGTGCCTATTTGGTTAAACTACAGCAACAGAGTCAGTCATACTTTGCTAAATACAAACCACTTGATTCTGACCAATAATGCATCAAAATTAAGTGAGGTTTATGCTTACATCAAGAAAAAAAAATATCTGTCAATGGGGTAAGAAAAATACAATTGTTTCCTCTTTGAATTAAGCTTATTTTTCTTACCCCACTGAAAGATATTTTTTCATGTTTTAAATAACGGCACAAATACCAGTAAACTGACTACTGTAAGTTTTAGTAAATCATGTTGCGTTATTCATTTAAATACTCTCCTCCAATAAATTTTGCATCCTCTGAAAGTTAAACTCCTACAAATGCATATGAAATAAAGTCATCCACAAAAATACCCATGCCCACACTTTCTCACTTAATTTTTTTCACTTCACGTCTTCAGTAAATCCTGACAGTATTGTTTTTTTTTGTTTGTTTGTTTTTTTGCAAACCCTAAAAGAGGTTTGCATGCTGTTAATAAATCTGGCCCTTAATATTTTGTGTCATTTTGCATCTCAAATGCATCTTGACTTAAAAATGCTTATATATTTGCACTGTAAAACAAGACAATAATAATATTAAGTAAGAAAATGACTTTTTGCCAAATTATTAGTTTTCTAAAACAATGGAAAACAATTAAATGATAAAAGACACCAATGTTCAATGAATACATCTTTAAAAATGAATAAAACAATTAGTAATAAAAGTAATATAGTTCATTAGCCTAAATGTGGGCTGATTACTGCTGAAACAAGTAGGTGCATTGGTAACATTGCAACATGGCTCATCCAATCAGGTCTGAGAGTCAGAGCTAAACAAATTAAACATATGGAGTCGGTGAAACTTCATAAGATGCACCATGAACGCAATTCAATTGATCTGTATTCTAGATGTTTTCTTTTAATAAAAAAAAATAAAAGTGTAAAAATATTGGTATACACACAAAACTGTTGTTATTAAAACACAGTGTTGTTTACCTCCTGTTGAGCTGCTCCATCTGTTGGACGGAACCAGATCTGCGCAGGCCATCCGGCGTGGCTGCGGACGTTGGCCGTTGCCAAGTGGTGGTCCGGTTAATGTGATCCACATAGAACACACGGCCGTGACTGTCAATACGGGCCTCCCAGTCTGAGCGTGCCAGACAAAACAAACACACACATTTGAAGCCCAAATCAATATTCTGGTCTGCCAAGTATTTCAAATAAGTCTGATAGCTTAAAAAATGATAGTGGATCTCTCTAATTAAGACATTATTTACAAAAACCTTCATGCTATTTTTATTATGTGAATGCCTCAAAGATCCCCTCAGTGTAGGATGCTTCAGATTTGACTCATTTTAACATAAACACACACACAAAGCACAGTAGCATGACGAAGTGACAGACGGTCTCAGAATGGGTCACAGAATTATATTAATCAACACTAAAATCTCACAGTGTGGGTTAGTGAGAGTGACACTGGAGATGCTCACGTCTGATATGAAAGTTGTTTGCGTGTAAGTAGTTGTAGTTTGACTCTACACAGCTTTGAAATGCAATGAAACATGTGAGGGCAGGCACACCAGGAGAAAGTGATACGTTTGGGTCAATTTGAACAATTTCGATTTGCTGCAATATTTTGCAACTTGGAAAGCAACATGCATAAACAGCCATAATTTTTCACAAATGAAAAAATCTATAGACATTTTCATGAAGTAACATTTTTCTCATAATAGACACAGGACCCCATATTATACATTTTAAATTATAGTGTTTAGAATTTTTTTTTTTTTGAAAATCATGTTTCATTCATCAGTTTATATAATGATTATTTAAAATACAATACAATTAAATAAAAAAAGTTACTTTAGCATTCCCATATATATAAATTTATTATAATATATATTATAATATAAATTTATACATTTATTCAATTCAATGACAAATGTATTAATTATATATATTTTTTATTTTCCAAGAAAAATACTTTTGTAAAGTATTTTTAAATTTTAAGTTTCAATAAAAAAAAAAAACACTTTCATTATTTTGATAACCTACAGTATATATAATCCATAGGCAATTCACCTGTAGTACCTCCATATAATTTGTGAGACAAGACTGTAAATACTGTACATGTATTGTACGGCAAAACTTACTCGGTGGCAGCGGCTCGTCTATGGTGGGATAGTGATGTGGGTCGGGCCGCAGGGCGGGCAGCTGGCTCACTGCAGGATGGTTACAAGGCAAAGGACATTCTCCTAAACACACCACAAACATATCTCTTCATAGATACTTTTCTATCACAAGTCCGCAAAAGGGAAATCCAGATCTTTTTTAAATAAAAACACACAATCTATGCATTCTACCAATAGAAGTCTACTCACTTCTGCTGCTTGGTCCAGCTACTGGTGATTCTCCGTTACCCATAATGCCGTGTGGGCTCTGTACGTGACTATCCGGTGCCTCCTCCCACTGACAACTCCCGTCCCCTGGCTCCCGGCTCTTAGCGCCCTGTCCTGTCTCCGCCTCCAATCCCAGAATGCCGTTCAATCTGTCCATCTCGTCCTCGTCATCCTGTGAGGAAAACACAGTGCTCTCTGACCGCCGTGCGCTGTCTAGAGACGGCGCCCGCACGGGGCCCGAGGCCCTCTGCGCCATGTGACTGCAGCACGGCACCGGGCTCAAATCGCACTCGCTTTCTCCTGGTGACCTTTGACCTGTGGTTTGTCCCTCAGCCCCGAGCGGCTGTCCATCTCCGTCGAGCATCTGAATGAGGTCGGAGAGGCGCTCGTGTGAGCGGCTGCGGGGCAGCGTCCTGCGAGGGCCGTTGGGTGTTAAAGTGTGAGGCTCAAGGGTCTCTTCCTCATCTTCTTCTTGTTCTTCTACGCCCTGTGGCCGGTCGGGTTCAGGTCCAGCCGCGTCTCCTGGTTGAGGCTGGGTGGACGGGAGGCTGTGCAGCAGGTGGTGGATTCGGATGTAATGGGAGCGTGGCGTCTCCGGTTCACCACAGGCCGAAGCGATGACCGTCTCCAGCTCAGACACGGGTAGGGAACAAGGCCGCGGCTTCCTTCTCGGTGTGGTTCTGATCCTCAGCGAGCAGCATTCCTCTAGATCCACATCTGGTTCTTCCGAAACCGGTTGCTGTTCTGAGATGGCCTCCTCTTTGACTCCTGCAGGATCTCCTGAAGACTCTGCAGGCCCTTCGGCAAAGGCACTATCATTTTCTGCCTCTTCTTGGGGCGTCTCTTCCACTTCAACGTTGGTCTCTTCTTGCTCCATTTGTTCTCGGCTCTCGACTGCTGCTGCTTCCTCCTGCTGCCCCGGATGCGTCTGCTGCTCTTCCTCTAAAGGCTCTTCCTCTACAGCTTCTGCTTCGGCTGATTCAACATCCATGGGCATCTCTATAGAAGCCGTTTCTTCATCTAAGGGCAACTCTGGGGCTCCCTGGTCCAAACTCATGGTGTCTTCTGCCTGAGGCTGGACTTGAGCTTCTGCTGCCGCCACTGGTTGCTCTGTACTGAGAGACATGTCCTCATCATCTGTGGAGAGGACAGAAACTGGTGACCTACAAGCACATAATGTATACACTAAAGTACTAGCTTGTAAGCATGCATGATATACTGGTGATCACGTGACTTTTTAATATTATGAGTGGCCTGATTAGACTAGTATTAGAAGTAATAATATGATGGCCCATTATATTACATAATTACATCAATAGTCAAAAGCTTGAGGTCAAAGAGCATTCAAATAGAAAACAGTTATTTTAAAATATAATAATATTTTACAATATTACTAATAAAATTAATAAATGCAGTCTTGGTGAGCTTAAGAGACTTAAAAAACATTTAAAAAATAATACAAGCCAAACTTTTGAATGGTAGTGTATTTTTATAAGGACAATAAGAAAAAGCACAGGATTGCATGAAATGGAGTTTATTTGTGAGGTCAGATCAGTTTAAAAAGTAATTAATAGCACATCCTTAACAAGCCAATTGATTTGAGACATTAATTGAGTTACCTGACAAAGATTGGTATGTTTAGTTTTGAACAAACCTGCCATAGTGATGCCTTTGCAAACTAATTGAATTTCGAAACGAATTTTAATATCAATAATGTAATCAGTTATTACATCATAATATTAAGATAACTGATATGATAAAAAGATACAACACAAAAATAACTATTATTAACAGCTGAAATTTCCATATCAGTCTGTCATGATTGTCTAGAGCTCTTTGTTTAACGTAGCAGACTGTCCACTATGAACGTGTGTTAATGATTTATATTCAATAAAAAGTAGATTAAAAATCTGTATTTACCTGGATGGATGGAGGATGTAATCTCAAACCTGAACTGCAGCTGGCCACTGACATGCTCAGTTGGAAGCCTCCGACCCAGAGTGTAGCTGACCACTCGATCACTGCGACAAAAAACATGAACAAACACCTCAAAATTAGCATTTCAACTCATTAGCATAACAAACCAGGCCCATATTCCAAAATGTTACAAAAGAGCCTATTTTTCTTCTTAAGTTAAGTGCAAGCTTCTTTATCTTCTTGAGCACATACCCGATCGCATGTTTCTCCAGTAATCTTTGCACTGGCATGGACAGCTTGCCTAAAAAACGCTTTATGATGGGTCGGCTTTTGGCAAACTTGTCTTTCACCTCGATCTCCAACACATCCGTGGGCAGAGACACAAAATTAAAGCGCTACGAGCAGGAAATACAAAGACACAGAGGAAGAAACAGCAATTATTACAAACAAACCTTGTAACCTAAAGTGAAACAAATTATGTTGGTATCAAACAAATGTGCATTTTAAAAAAGAATGTAAATGTAATGTGAGAAGTCGTCCTTCATCAGAGTTGGATGTTGCTGGTGTAAAAGACACTGCCTTTAATTTATGCAACAAAAGCCAAGAACTAAAAACAAACAGATAAAATGGTCATAAAAAAAGACAAACAAATATTCATGTGTTCATATTTGGCATGGAGCTTCACATTTGTGCTTGTATGGGTAGTTCATGCTTTGCATGTCGATTGAAGAGAACTTTTTGTTTTCTTCAACATCAATATTTTAGTTTCATTTATTTGAACCTACAATAATTAAGGACTGAAATTTAGCGATTATGATCACCTATAAGACATGTAGCACTAACCAAAAAGTATTCCTTCAAATAATGATAGTAAGGAAACAAACCTGCCTTCCATCATTCATTCTCCATGTCTTGACCTATTTTAATCCACTGCTATAAGGCGATCTCCTCTACCCTTCTCTAATCTAATAAAAGCACTTAGCGGAAGACAGTGTCAGCCAGAAACAGCCACTCTACAACATGAAAACAATCCCATCAAATCCAGGTGATCTCTTCCACACCAATAAGATGTAGTGATGGGAATCATAAAAAAATTAACATTTCTGAATTTAATGATTGCAGTTCTTTAAAGGATTAAGTACTTTTGAGAAAGCACCAAATAATTCATACTAACTGCATTTCTGTCATGACAACTCTTGGAGGGATTGGCATGGTAATGTACATGACAATGTTAATGTATTTGGTCTTGGCGGAATAGATCTGCTATGCTGCTGTTGCTGCTGACTTGCTACTGCCAATACATCCACAACATGCTGCTGTGAGCATGTAAGAAATATTGCTTCTGCAAATATAACATACATGAAATAACCCCCATATAGCGTACATGAATCACCTCGTAGCAGATCTATACAGGTGGATCTGGGGAAGGTGGCGGGTTTCGGGAGCAAGCTGCAACTGCTACAGCAAGCACTAGTCATATATTTGAATGTAGTAAAGATGTAGTAAAATGACCAAAAGTGACAGTAAAGACATTTATAATGTTGCAAAAGATTTATATTTCAAATAAGTGTTGTTCTTTTGAACTTTCATCAAAGTATCCTGAATAAAAACGTATTGTGGTTTCCAGAAAAATATTAAGCAGCACAATTGTTTTCAACATTGATAATAATAAGAAAAGGTTCTTGAGCAGCAAATCAGCATATCAGAATGATTTCTGAAGGATCATGTGACACTGAAGACTGGAGTAATGATGCTGAAAATTCAGCTTTGCATCACAGGAATAAATTACTTTATAAAACATATACAAACAGTTATTGTAATAATATTTCATACTATTACTGTTTTTACTGTATTTTTATTGTATATATGTTTTTTACTGTATCAAATATATACAGCCTGGGTGAGCATAAGATACTTCTTTCATAAACATTAAAAAAAAAGTTTCAAAGGTAGTGTATAATGTTTATATATAGTATTATTGGCTGTTTTAGACCAATGATATTGTTTGTGACGCAAATCATACAGTTCCTTTATTTTTCATAAATAGAATTGGTTCTCAATTCCAAGCCCTACAGAGATGACATCCTGTGTAATGAAGATTCGAACAAAATCCTATCCGTCAGTCAACAGGACAGTGAGCTGTATTTGTGATTCTGCAGTGACGCATTAAGTTTATTTGCAGAATAAAGGAATTACATGACAAACTCCATGTGGACTCTGTACAAAGCTCAGAAGGGTAGCGTTGGGTTAAACATCTGTGAATAAATAACGCTGGAATCAGATATTGTTTTGTAAGGATTTTTATATGAGCATGTTTAATCTAGTGTGTGGGTGCGTTTGTGTGCTTCCCATACCTCCCTCTGCCAAACAGGATTAATGGTATTGCAGACGATGCCTGATCTCTTCTCCTGGCCGTGGTGAGGCAGGGCAGGGAAGATGCTGTGCTTGCCGGGGTGGATGGCAATCTTCAGGTAGGGGTCGGGGTTAAAGAACATGCCTTTCTTTAGCCCAGTGGCCTGGAAATCTGCCCACAACATAAAAACAGAGAGATGAATGAGAACCGAACAGAGCAAAATACAACTGAATTAAAACAAAACGACAGCAAGACACATCAGCATATAAAAGAAGGTACTGAAGAGAACAAAACAGAATATAACAGAGTCAAATAAAAAAATAAACAACAGAAGAGAACAAAACAAAACTGAACGGAACCAAAAAAACTAAATAAAACAAACAAAACAGAATAGAACAAAAACAAAACAAAGAACAGAACAGAACAAAAACATAACAATAACAGAATAAAACATACAAATATAGAACAAATAAACAAAGAAAAACAGAATAGAACAAAATAAACAAAACAAAACTGAACGTTCCAAAATAAACAGAATAAAAAATAAAACAGAAAAAAATCAAACATAATAGAACAAAATAAACAACAGAAAACAGAAGAGAATAAAACAAAACAGTACATAAGAGAAAAAAACTATTGCAAGTAACGAAACAGAATGGATTAAAATAGATCTTAAAAATCTCTAAATTGCTCTCCAAAAATGAACACCATTAACCAAAAAGCACCTTGTGGAAGAAACATGTAATTGGGGTAAATATGTTCCTATAGTTTACAGCAGACTGAAAGCAGTGGATCAATCATGAAATCCTCTGGAGACACTAAATATAGAAGCATAAATATTGATACATCTTAATGACTACAGATTACAGGTCATGCCAATTTTTACACAACACAAACCTGAGAGAGAGAAGCTGATGAGTCTTCTGCTGCCTTGACTCTGAGGTAAGTCATCTGTGGCCACCGGCTTAAACACCTGAAAGCAGAAAATTCAGTGTAAAATGTCTTCGATTTCACTGGAACCAGTAAACACCTTTCACATAATATCAGCAGCAATACCTGATCAAAAACTACGACAGAACATTTCTTCCCTTATATGTTTTGGGCAAACAGTGCTATATGCGTCACATTATATGAGGCAATCTCTGAGTTCTCACCAAAAAACAAACAAAAAAAAACCTTGTAATTTTGTTCCCCATGGCACACAATAAAATAAATGACTATGTAAATGGTAAATTTAAAGAGGTAAGTTTAAAAATGTGCCACAGCAACTAAGATTTCCTTTTGTAAAATACCTTTTGACTTGACTCAATCATGTCAGACTTCATAATTTTTCACTGCAATTCTTAATAATGCAACCAACCAATAGGCTAGCCATTTTAAATGGGATGAATGTATTGCTGACACTGGACAGGACAGAACAAGACAAAAATGAGAAAGATTCAAGGATGTTTAAGTCTTTTTGAAATTGAATGATCACAAAAAAATAAAATATTTAATGTAAATAAATGATGAACATACGTTCTCAAGTGTGGAGAAAAATTATTTGCTGTAGAGTTTGTAAAAATGTATTCTTTTCACATGCAGAAATAAAATCTTAATAGTTCACCCACATAGGAAAATGATGTCATCATTTACTCACCCTCATGTTGTTCCAAACTTATAAGACTTTGGTTAAACTTTGAAACACAAATTAAGACATTTTTATTGAAACCTGAGAGATTTTGGTCTCTCCACTGAAAGTCTAGGTAACAACAACTTTGAAGATCCAAAAATGTCATACAGGCATTGTAAAATGAATGAAGTGGTTTAATCTAATGAAGTCTTATGAAGAGATACGATTGTCTTAAAGGGGTCCTATTATGCTCTTTTACAAAGTAAAATAAAAAAACTTGATTTTGTTTTGGGGGTGTACTAGAACATGCTCTCATGCTTGGTGGTTCGAAAAACGCATTATTTTTCACATAATTTACATTATTAAAATACCTTTCTCCCCAGCCTGGCACAAACGGCTTGATTAGTTCCGGCTTTGATGAAGGTCCGCCTTCCGAAAAACAAAATGTGTTGTGATTGGTTAGCTGTCCCAGTGTGTTGTGATTGGCGAACAGCTTTGACAGTGTTTCATTACTGCCCCGCCCCTTGCTCCGTCTTTCAACAAAAGCTTTTGGGCGAATCTGGCACTGTACTCCCTCATGTTGTGGAAGCTGTCCTCAGTAAAATGCACAGCACACAATAGCAAATTGGCGTTATAATGCTCAGGAACAGAGTTAAAAAATTAATTGCAACCTCTGTTTCCAGACATCATCCGCTTTCGGAAACCCAAACAAAGACGTTTGGGCATGGAGGTGAAAAAAACAGCATTTCAGGCGGTCGCGCACCGGACGAGAAGCGCAGCGTCACGTCACGTCTTTAAAATTCAAATACTTTATTTTCTATGAGTGTAGGCACACCGGCGGCGCCGTTCGGCGTCTGTCCGCGGCGCCCAGCTACGTCGTGCTGTACTTGTAAGAATTGTTCTAAACATGCTGAAAATTTGACGCTACAGCACAGCAGCTCTTCTTCTTGGTTTTCTCTGAAGCACTAACTCTGCAGCAGCACTTCTTCTTCGTCGTCTCGTCTGATGCACTCACTCAACCAAACGTTCTAACCACAACCTCGCCCCTCCCCTCCCCCCAACCGTTCAAATTTCTGTAGGCGGGAATTATTTGTAATGATATTCCAATGAGCCGCTTTGTGATATCACAAAGCCCGGAAAACAAACGCTGTAGTCCAAACGAGCCGTTCGTTGTAGTTCTTGAAAAGGGATTTTTAAAAAAACGAAATATCTCCCTTTGGAGTGGACTTTGAGATTTGTAACTTTCTAGATCTTTTTTATGCCCAAACATATACACTACACACTGACTAAAATTTAAAAAGTGAAAAAGCATAATAGGACCCCTTTAAATGATGAACAGATTTAATTTATTCTTTTATTTACATCTAAACAATGAGGTTTGTTTCAGCGTGTGTTGCTTCCGTTTTTACCATATGTGATGTGCTCTATGTATGTGTGTTTATAAGTGAATACAAGCCTAAATTAAAAATTGCTCATTATATAAAGTGATCATATCGCTTTACAAGACTTGGATTAAGCCACTCAATTCATATGGGTTCATCTTACATCATTTTTGTGACCTTTTTGGATCTTCTAAGTTTTGGTTCCCTGGACTTTCAACGTGACGGAAACCTCTCATCTTAATTTGTGTTTTGAAGGTTAACCAAAGTCTTAAGTGTTTGAAATGGCATAAGGGTGAGCAAATCATGTCAGAAGTTTCATTTATGGGTAAACTCACACTTTAAGGTCACCATAAAGGCCTGTGTCTTGGAATTGGTACACTTTAGCTTTAAGAAACAGAAAGAGAGTTTGGCAGACTCTGTGGCTATGGAGGTAGGCCTGTATTAAGCCACGAAATGATAACCTGAGATTATCTGCAGCATTAATCCTCTCAGAAACAGATGGCACAGACTATTCTGCTCTTGAAAAACTCTTGATGAAACGGGGTGAAAGAAAAACAGCAGCATTCTCTACACATCTGCAACATGATGCAGCAGCACTGTACACATACGTCTGTTCCTCACCACTGCTCAACTAAAGACATGATGTCTGGAGATTTAAGCAAGACTCAAAATAAAATATATACACGTCTTTTCTTTCGCTCACCGGTGCGGAGGGGTTCTTCACAGTCACACATGGCGTTGTGGCCCGCAGGGCTCCACTCACTCCATGATAATATTTAAAACAGATCTTAGTCTCCGCTGAAAAAGAGCCAAGCACAGGAAAAGGTCACAGGGAGAAACATTTTGCAGATTTTCTCTTTCAGATACGCATAACTCATCTATTCATGTGGGGCTACTAAAATACTGTCTAGAAGATAAACATTTCCACCCTATATATTACAAATTCTGTCACTGACTAGAAATAGCAGGTAGCCAAACATTGTCTGTGTATCATCTGAACTTTATTTCAGGCCCCTTCAATCAGTTTCCACCAGGCTGGAAGGAAGTGTCTAGAAATAATCGTGACTGGTTTCGTTCATAGTAAAAATAGCTGAATGTGGTTGTCAAATAAAAAAAAATAAAAAAAATGTCCTACCCCAACTTCCTCTTTACGAATTGGAAATAAAATACTGTGACAGAAAAAATCTTGCTTGCTATTTGAGAAATAATGGCCTGAACTTATATTTTAATATTTATAGCATTAAAAATATCATAATATTTAGGATTAATTTTAATATATTTTAATTTTAAACTTATAGGAAATACAAAAATAATCCTCACAAACTGTATGACATCTGGGTAATTAGAATGAAGTAGATCAATCCCCAAAAATATTCATCAATCTTGAAACACCATGAACATCCTCAAATAAATAAAATGTAACATTGGGTTAAGATCTTGAGAGGGGCCTTATGATTTCCATAATGTGGAAAATGCAGATGGAATTGTATAATTGAGTTATAAATTTACCGTATAATGCAGAATGTCACTGAAGTTTTGGATTAATTGGATTAAGTGAGGCTGTACAATTAATACAATTAAAATTGCAATATGGACTAGTGTCTTTGATTATTAAACTGCAAAAAGACTTATTTAAAGGGGACATAGCACACACAGTTTCTACCAATCTCATGTTAATCTTGAGTACCTATAGAATAGTATTACATCCTTCATTTCTTTTACATTACATTTACATTGTCATTTATCAGACGCTTTTATCCAAAGGGACTTACAAATGAGGACAATAAAAGCAATCAAAACCAACAAAAGAGCAATAAAATGCAAGTGCTATGACAAGTCTCGGTTAGCCCATGTAGCAATTTTTTTTTGTTGCTTTTTTTAATGACATTATATATGTGTGTGTGTGTATATGTATGTATGTATGTATGTATGTATGTATGTATGTATGTATGTATGTATGTATGTATGTATGTATGTATGTATGTATGTATGTATGTATGTATGTATGTATGTATATATATATATATATATATA